ATCGCGTTTTAAGCTTCTTTTATTTTTTTTTTCCGTCTCCACCAAAAATAAATGCTATATTATCACTATAGTTGACTGGTGCAAATTTTGGAGGAAGGGCGCTTTTTCTGTAGTAATAATTGCTTCTCGTTGTGTATATTGCGACGCTGGTAACTACAGGTTATATGAAATTCACAGTAACGTCTGGTATTTCAAGAAAAAGAAACTAATGAAAGTCACTCCACTCCACTAAGTACCATTATAATACTGGTTAGTTGCTACTACAACACTGTATTCAGCTATTCACTGGTATCACTAGATTATATGCGAGTACACTAGCAGGCCAGGAAGATTATTAAAACAGCTGACCTGTGTAAGTTCTGGCGACTTCTGGCACCTGCCTCTATAGGCTTATCACTTCATTTACAAATTCACCTGTTTTCAAATGACACTTTAGCCTTTATCATCAATATACTAGGGAGCCACTGTAGTATACACTATACACTATGTATACTCAATGCTTTCAGGGAGACTTTCTTTCCTCTGACACAAAGTTCAATATTATTATTTTTTCCACACGGGACAGGCCTATGATTCCCCTCTGGCAGTAAACTCTGCTAGGTAGTGCACACAATTCTCCTTTTTTTACTCAGTATATAATGTTTTCCGCCCAAGATTGGTTCCAGGCGCTAGAGGGATGTATCGATAGGATTGATGACACAAATTAAAGTTCTAGCACGTAAGAGCCACCGTGAAAACACCAGAAAACCGGGAGCACAACGAGGCACGCTGACACCTCTGTTCAATGTGGAAGTAGGTCTTAATACTTGGGAATTCTTCGCTTGCCTAATTCTTGGGCACGACCTACTTCCACATTGAACAAATGTGACACCACCTATGACTGCTGCACCTCTCCTGTCTACGGTTTATAAGCTCCTTCTCCGCACGTATGCCGTATTCTATTCAAGATTGATGGACTGACCACATCGACTCAAGGTTGAGGGACTGATTACCTCATTCTCCTCCTGTTCTTCAAGATTCTCCTTTGTATGGACTGATGAAGCCACTGTGTGGCGAAACGTTTCCTCAATAAAGATACCCAAGAGTTGCACATGTGTCTAATTTATCAGAGATACTTATATTCTAGCCTTAGTCTAGCAGTAACATCTTACCATCTACTGACCTTGTTACTTTCTCTATAGATATGTTTAACCTGACACATTTCATTATAATGGACAGTGGATCTGCTAGTTCTTATCTGGAGTGTTCTACTTGCTTCAAACCCATTTGCTGGCTTTTTCCTGACGTTTTTTTTTTAATTTCTACTTGAGAAAACATGCAGCTAGATTACGCAACTCAGTTCTGGTCTCCATATAATAGAATGGGTATAAATTCATTAGAAAACATTTAGTGAATAATGACAAAATTAATACATAGCATTAGAAATCTTCCTTATGAAGAAAGATTGAAGTCTCTTAAATTACATTCACTTGTTAGATGAAGAATGAGGGGAGACATGATCGAAGTGTATAAGTGGAAGATGAGGCCAATATGGGCCAACAGGCCTACTGCATTGTTCCTCCTTTGTTCTTATTTAATGCAAGTTCAGCTAAATGATCAACTTATCAGGTTCCTGGTGGCCTATGGCAGAGAAAATCCACAATAACTTAAATTTAATTCCTTAATAATTTGTGTATATCTGTTCGTAGCTTCAGTCACCAGCATGCTAAGTAATTAAGTTTATTCAGGTACAGGTACACATAAATACAGTTACATAAATGCATATGTGTAGATTACCTGGATACCTGGAGTTTACCTGGAGAGAGTTTCGGGGGTCAACGCCCAGGATAACTCAAAATAAAGTGAAAGTGACTTATTTCCACTGGGTTCCTTGCTACATTCAGATCTCAGGCTACTTAGAGCAAGTAATAAAAACAGTTAAACTGTCTTTAGTCGCGGTTTCCACAAGTTTGAGAGGAACAAGGTAAACAGTTCAGTTTTGTGTCATGTCCACCTGAGCTCAATACGGTGTACGCTGCTCAGTGGCCCTATATACCAACATCAAGAAAATTTTGACCTGTATGATGTCATGGTGGCCCGGGAAGGTGATAGTCAGGTCAGACAGGTGTCCAGAGTGCCTCAGGTATGCCAGACGCTCCCCAGGTGTAGCCAGGTGGCACTGCCACTGACTCCCACTTGACACCCGCCGCCCACCTGTCGATCGCCGCCCATCTAACGGCCGCCCATCTTCCGTCATCCTGAAATAACTACGTTAGCTTTTATTCAGGTTCAGTACACATATTTGCAGTTTTTTACAATTGTCTTATTTAAGTCATTTACGTGCACATAAACCTAACTAACCATACCATTAATAACACCAACATATTACTTCTACTATTACAGTACTACCACTACTATACTACTACTACTATTGTACTACTACTACTACTATTACTACTACGTGGTTGGAGAGACCTTTACCAACATCAAGGAAGAAAATATTTAGGCATCACAGCAACATTCTTCTAGCTCTCACATTTACCAAGAACATTCCACCAACTCAGCACAACCTGATAAACATAATTTCTTACGTATGTTGGCGAAAGTTACAGACTTGCGAATATACTAACACTTGTAAATACCTGCGAGAGGCGGGAGATATAAGGAAGGAGCCAGAGAGTATACTGAGTATACTCGCCTCTTCTGAAGGTATTCTGGCGGGTGGCCAGAGATGAGATGATGCTTCAGTCCTATGCCAGAGTTTATAATAGAATGATATGCTGCCTCCACTGCGATTTCCGGACGGAGGATCGAGCCTCCACTGTGAAATTCATACCTGTTTAGTTCTGGAACTAGGGTGAAGTAAGAGGCTACCACGCTAAACCAGGACTAACTACAGTATACACATTGATCACCTGTCGCCTACCTAGGGAATCACCCACGCTACTTAAACAATGTGTCTCTATACCATGTGTCACCTGTTCCACGTGTTACATGTACCATGTGTCACCTGTTCCACGTGTTACATGTACCGTGTGTCACCTGTTCCACGTGTTACATGTACCATGTGTCACCTGTTCCACGTGTTACATGTACCATGTGTCACTTCGGTTATAACATATCCCTCCACCCCTGATTAAATCAATAAGTTACTTAAAATAGGCGACCTGAGATCAGTACTGTCTCCAGAACACACACACTAGTAGCGATCAGTGAAGAGGCGGGGCCAGGAGCTGAGTCTCGACCCCTGAAACCACAATTAGGTGAGTATATATATATATACACACACACACACATGGGTAATATTTTTGACGAACGAGGCCGCTGATAAACTTATAGATGATGAAATTGGGTTTACAGACGAGACAGCTGAATTTACAGGCGATGCAACTGAATTTATAGACACTTCGGCTAGATTTGCAGACGAGGATGTGGATTGGCGGCAAAACCTTGAAAAATATCACAGTAAGTGAAAAATATACGACACAATAGATGACTCTCCAAGAATGTCGTTCACCTCAGTGGACACCCACCCTTCCTCTCTACATTTAATTTATCAATTTTCCTCATAAAAAAGAACCATGAATAAATAAAACAATTGAAAGGGGCAAATGAAGAATGAAATTAGTGTGACAAGTGTCAGGGATCCCTGTGGAAATAAGTCACTTTGACTGTTTTGGGTTATTTTAGGTAATTTACACGTTTGTTACTTTGCAGTAATCGCGAACAAGCGATGCAAGATGCAAAATAACTACAGAGGGAGTTGAATGATAGCTGTAGGTCTTTAATTTTACAATCAACACATCACCAGAAGTTTGCAATGTTCCAAAAAAGAGTAGGAAGTCCAGGTAGATTAATTCAGGGGAATGTGTATTCACCTATTTGTGGTTGCAGGGGTCGAGACTCAGCTCCTGGCCCCGCCTCTTCACTGATCGCTACTAGGTCCTCTCTCACCCTGCTCCATGAGCTTTATCATACCTCGTCTTAAAACTATGTATGGTTCCTGCCTCCAATACATCACTTGCCAGACTATTCCACTTCGGGAAATGCTCAGCGTAACAAGGGGCTTTCTGTATAATAGTATGTCAGTGATGTCAGCTATGGTCTGTATACCTTGTACTTGTACTGGTAGTAAATAATGATATTATACTATCTTGATCACCGAACACAGAAAATGGGAGACTAAAGAAACTCAGGAAAGAATACATTAAAAAATGTCTGAAAGACGATAATGATACGAAGGGATAACAATAGATGAAGAAAAGTCTGGGTCGTTGATCCCGGGATATCATTAAGTGAAAAACAGAGAGAGAGAGAGAGAGAGAGAGAGAGAGAGAGAGAGAGAGAGAGATACCTGGAGTACAGTATATTATAAAAAAGAAGCGCTAAACCTACAAGGGTCATACAGCGCCGCCGGGCAGGGAAGGATGCAGGGTACTGGGTAGCAAGAGGGAGAGGGATGAATTATATAGTTTATTTGGACATGATACATAGTTGTACAAGGATTATTAATCTGTAGTGGAGGGAAGGCGGGGTAGGGGTCGGCCTAGGAAAGGTTGGAGGCAGAGGCGTCGTAAGGGGGGGGGGCCGCCCCGGGTGACATCATTTAGGGGGGTGACACCATAGAGCCTCTACTCAACTACTCAAATCCACACTATTTGCAGATGACACTACATACGTCTACTCTCACCCGAGCCCAGTCACGCTAGCCAATACTGTAAATACCGAATTACAGAAAATATCTACCTGGATGAGGACTAACAAACTTACACTAAACATTGACAAAACCTACTTCATTCAGTTTGGTAACAGAGCTACAGATGTACCTCTTAACATAATGATAAACGGATCACCTATCACAAAGCTAACAGAGGGAAAATTCTTAGGAATCCACCTTGATAATAGACTCAAATTTCATACACATATACAACAAATTTCTAAAAAAATTTCCAAGACTGTAGGCATACTATCGAAGATACGGTACTATGTTCCACAGTCAGCCCTCCTGGCCCTATATCACTCACTTATTTACCCCTATCTCACCTATGGAATTTGTGCATGGGACTCAACAACAATTAACCATCTCAGACCACTAATTACCCAACAAAAGGCTGCAGTCAGAATGATAACAAATTCTCACTACAGGCAGCACACTCCACCAATATTCAATACACTAAACCTATTCACCATACAAAACATTCATACTTATTACTGCACCTATTACATACATAGAACACTTAACTCTGATATAAACCCTCCCCTCAAACATCTCCTTGCCAACCTCAACAGAACACATGACCATAACACAAGGCACAGATCACTCTTTGATGTTCCTCGTGTCCATCTCACGCTATGCAAAAACTCAATGCACATAAAAGGCCCTAAAGTCTGGAATTCATTACCTGTGAATATAAAAGAAACACTTTCTGTTTATAAATTCAAGTCTCTGCTCAAAAATCACTTACTCATCCACAACCAAATAAATACTGAATAACTGTAGCTTAAAAATTGTATCTCATAAATGTTTCTCATTATTGTATCTCATAAATGTTTAACCTGATACCCAATCAAACTTTGTTATTTTTTAATTACATTACCTAACAGAATATTCCATTCTACTGAATGTTCAGCAACACAGTAAATGACCATGTGACCTGTCTCTGTAATACTCATTTGTACTTAATTGTTATCTGTTTACAATAATGTTTGTACCACTGAATATATCATTGCTTAGTTAATCTTAAGTTAATTTTAAGCCTGCCCATAATGCTCTGCATACAAGTGACTTTGGCATGTTGCACTTAACTGCTCTCATTTGTACTACTCTGTATCATGTTCAAATTAATAAATAAATAAATAAATAAATAAATAAATAAATAAATAAAGAAGGTGACACTAAGGCCCAACACAGTGCTGCCCTAACATAAGAGAAGAATCCTTCATTTCTATATAACCTATTATGTATTAACAAAGTACAAATAAGCCTATATAGGGAAAATCATTGATTCTGATGATGTGATAGATGATTTTGCATAACTGAAGGCAAGGAAATGTAAGATCAGATTCACTGAGATGTTATCTGCACGGAGTTGCTGAACACCACAAATGAGGTAGTTGAAGTTCTATCAATAAAGATCGAGAACCAAAACCTAGTCAGATGCAACCTCACAACAGTTCAAGGAACAGCTACTGAAAATTGATTACTGTTTGGAAAACCTTCCAGCTCCATCCCCAAGCATCTTACTGCTTGGTGATTTCAACCTAAGGCATACAAAATGGAAGAATGTAGCAAATAATGTTATAGCTGAAACAATCCCCGGAGGTAGCGCAGATGAAAGGTCACACACACATGAGCTACTAAGTCTCTGCGAAAAACACACCTTAAGCCAGCAGATAGTGGAGCCAACAAGACTAGAAAACACACTTGACCTTATCTTCACAAATAATGAGGACCTGATAAGAGACATAAGAATATCAAAAACAACTAATTCTGATCACAACCTAATCGAAGTTCAGACGTATATGCATAGGGGTACTAATAAGCAGAATGCATGTACCTGTGAAGGTGTCTTCACAAAATACAACAAGAACATCAACTGGGACCAGGTAAACCATGTCCTAAACGAAACATGTTGGGAAGATGTCTTAAATGACATGGATCCAAACCAGTGCCTTGAAAGGATCAACTTCCTGGTAGCCGAAGCATGTTCTAGGCATATTCCCCTAAGAAAGAAGAAGAGCAGGAGTAAACTGGAGAGAAAAAGACGCTCCCTCTACAGAAGACGACGAAGAGTCACTGAGCTCCTCATGAGTGCTAGAATATCTGATACACGAAAGGAGGCGCTGACCAGGGAAGTGGAAACTATCGAACTTAAGCTAAATGACTCTTACAGGAACCAGGAGAGGCAGGAGGAGCTTAAAACTATTAGTGAAATTGAAAGAAATTCAAAATATTTCTTTTCATATGCCAAAAACAAGGCAAATACAACATCTAGTATCGGGCCCTTACTCAGACAGGATGGGACTTACACAGATGACAACAAGGAAATGAGTGAAATATTGAAATCCCAGTACGACTCTGTGTTTAGTGAACCACTAATCGGTCTGAGGATCGACGACCCAAATGATTTCTTCATGAATGAGCCTCAAAACTCCATAAATGTATGCCAGATTTCCGACATTACCCTAACTCCGATAGATTTCGAAAAAGCCATTGACAACATGCCTATGCACTCAGCCCCGGGCCCAGACTCGTGGAACTCTGTTTTCATTAAGAACTGCAAGAAACCCCTCTCGTGTGCCCTAAGTACACTATGGAGGAGGAGCTTGGACATGGGTGAAATTCCACAGTCACTTAAAACAACGGATATAGCCCCACTCCATAAAGGTGGCAGCAAAGCATTAGCTAAGAACTATAGACCAATAGCTCTGACGTCCCACATCATAAAAATCTTTGAAAGAGTGCTAAGAAGCAGGATTGCAAATCACCTGGATTCCCAAAATCTGCACAATCCAGGGCAACATGGGTTCAGGGCAGGTCGCTCCTACCTCTCACAACTACTGGATCACTATGACATGGCCTTGGATGCACTGGAAGAAAATCAG